GGGGAGAGTTTGAGAAATACAGGAGCAGGGTTATCCGGAAAATTTTCCTTCAATACAGTCGTGGCTGTTGCACCACGGGCGGCCATGGTGTATAGACGATAAAATCAAAAAAAAATGTTTTGGCGCTCAGGTGACTGTGTGGTGCAAAAAGGCGGCGCGGGTCCAGAAGGTTCCGGCCGGCCTGTTTTGTCTTTGTGTGAGAGCGGGGAGCCTCGTGAGAGCGCTGGGGTGACTGCCGAGCGCTGGTCGCAGCGGCAGGATCCTTCTCCTTCGGGCGGGGCTGGGGCGGCGGGCGCCTGTTATTACACAGGGGCACTCCAGCACAAAGGGAGAGAAAAGATGATATTGTCAGGGCATCGAGGCTCCTTATATAGTCTGGCTGCTAGCCAGCTGTCGGCAAAAAACCGAACGGGCGAGGGAAAATCTGTGACAGGTGGGTGAAAAGTCAGTCTGCTGATATGAAAATATCTGCAGGCTGTTTGAATATCCGCGGGCGCGCTTTGATTGATTCGATCGTTCGAAAAAGTAAAATTTGTGGGTTGGGAATTGGGAATTGGGGTGGCAGGGGAGCTGTTCTGCTGCAATGATCAAACGCATGCATGTGTTGCCGGCCGTTGCGCCGAGTCATCTGCGGGCGGGTTGATGGCACAACTCTTGCTTGTGCTTGTGCTTGTTTGGGTTTAAAGTCTGGTACAGCAAGAACTAGCTTGCAACATAGGCTCCCCGCCGAAACGGGACGGGGACCGGGCGAAAGCAAAGAAAGCAATAAAACAGGGGTGGAGCAAGGCGGCATGCAACGCAAGCACCTGAACCCCCACTCTCATGTCCACCCCCTTTGCTCTTACCGCACCACACCTGCTCCACGACATGCAGTACTGTCTGCCCGCTCACACACTAAACGCTCGGTGACCTGTCAGTTGGCCTGTCCTGCCTGTTGTTCTACTGCTCCATCCCTCCTTGCTCGAACAACAAAGTCTGTGCTGCAAGCTTGTTCTTGCTGAAACCAGACTGTAAGCCCACACAAGCAAAAGCAAGCAAGCAGCTGACAGGGCACGCAGCGACACGTATGTCTGACTGGCAAAGTGGCATGGCGCATTGGGGAGAAACGCAACGGGACGGGAGCTCGGGCTGGCCAAACTGCAGTGCGGAACGCTAGGTCACTAGGAAAGCAGGGAAAGGCGCACTATCTATGCAATGAGGGCAGCCCCGGCTCGGGACCGTTGAGAAAGCAGTGGGCGGGAGGGGGCGAGGCCCCGGTGTGGGCGGGCCCCATCGAGGGGGGATGGGGCGCGCAAGCGGCCAGATGGGGCGGGGCGCGGGCGGCAGTAGAGCCCTGCGGCTGGGTGGGATATAGGGCAATGAGCGTTGAGCAGTGTGCGATGAGCAATGAGCAATGAGCAGTGAGCAGCCCCTCCCTAAACAAAGTGAAGCGCAGGACGGGTCAGTTGTATGGGAGGCAAGGAAACGTGGGACGTCGCCACGTGCGCTGCCGCCGCCGCCGTAGGCAGCACCCTTGCGGCGGCGGCGGAAGCAAGCCGTGGACCCAAACGCCGTGCCGCCGAGTTCCCAGCCCGCGGCCGTGGGCTTCTGGCAGGAAGCTACAGCCGCAGCTCAGCGGCACGGGGGCGTCGCAGCGTATCGCCGCCGCCGCCGCAGAGCTGGCACCCCTGCGGCGGGGGCTGTACACACAGTTGTTGAGCATGCA